CCCCAAAACCCCAAAACCCCAAAACCCCAAAACCCCAAAACCCCTTTAACAAGAGCTTTGATTGAACTAAAGGGGATAATTGAATAATAAAAAGTCAGAAACTATGGAATTTTACAGGCTTCAGATAACTAATACTTTTCAAAATTCTCTCATTTAACCCAAATAGAAAGCATTCAAACATTTTAAGAAATTAATCCAAAAATATCTGAAAAACAAACTATTCAGAGCGAATGCCCCTGATTTTGACTGTAAAAATATGGTTAAAATCTAATTCGTTAGTACTCCTACTCCTAATTCACTTTTGATTTATAAGATTTAACTTATTTACTTCATCAGAAGATATTGGCTGGTTCTTCAGCCAGAATTGGTTTAAACAAGACTCTTAGAGTTGCTCATAGCGAAAAATCCTGTAATGAACCACTGAATAAGTGTTAGAATATACCACACAAATCCATCAATTACGATGCAGATCATGGATTTCCATAAATTATTCGCCACTGACCTACAGTTATGATCGCTGAAGAAGTCATTCATGAAGAAAATAAAGAAGACTGTCCCTCATGTGTAGAATAGGGCTAGATTTAAAGAGAATATCAAGGGATTAAACTTCTGGGTCAACATGAGCAATCACAACACAATAGATCTGTAGAGAAACATCAGAAAGTAGATCACAAAATACGCAGCGATGTAGTCTCGAGCTGGAATATCACAAACTGCTGCTTCATTCTGAGCATAAAATATCGCTATTCAAGATTAGCCAACCAGAAGACCCTTAAGTGACTTATTCAAGAATTCAAGGTAAAATACGATAGGAAATGCTTGAAAAGGAGTCCAAATAATTCCGAAAGGTCTTTACCTGCAGGGATCATCACGCCTGAGCTGATTACATTGCCAAAACTTAATTTGCCAAGTTGGGTCATTATTATCGCTGGACTGAACTCTATATAGATGTTATAAAATTCCCCAAATTCTCTAAAAATGTTGAACCGACTTAAAAGCAGATGTACATAATATCAAAGGAGTCTAAATTTAAGGCTAACAGCTCCAGCCCGTTACTCATCTGTGTGTTTCCTTAATCTATGGAATTCTCTACTTACCGTCCATTACTGTTAATTTTATAACTTTTACCCTAACAAGGGGTTTTGGGGTTTTGGGGTTTTGGGG